ATTGCTGTGTTGCTCGGCTAGCGGGAGTGTGGCGGGGCGGGAGCTCCCGGCTGTCCCGGCGGCTCCGCGCGGTCATTGTGCTGCCGGGGGTGGTCACGGGGCCGGCTAATCCCCCTACAATGGGGCTGGCGGTGGGAAAAGCTGAGCGCTCGCTTCCCGCGCGCTCCCGGCTGCGTCCGTCGGGAACGGGGCTCTGGGCTGCCCGCTGGTCGTGTCAGTTTGTTTTACTGCAGGGTGCTAGCGAGCCGGAGGGGGAAAGGGCCGCTCTTGTGTACGCGCTGCCTTCGTGCAGCTTTGGCCTCCACGGGTTAATTTTTACTCTGGTTCTGGAGGCAGCTCAGCAGTGAGCCCGATAAAGCCTTGGTGGAGAGGTTGCAAGCATATGTGCCCTTCCTGCACTATGCTTTTTCTGGATCATGTAGTCTGATAAAAATCGCCTCTTCCTACAGAGTTTGCTGGTTTCATTGCTTTGGACCATCCTGACTATGACAGCAGGGATGTGTCCTCTCTCCACAGCAGCACAGAAAGCCAAAACCCCCAAATAAATAGGAGCAAATCTTTTGTTCAGCAGCCTGAATGTCTCAATCCAAATGCGATAAGTTTAATTATATGCTGCTCACAAAGCAGGCTGATTATTGGCACTTAGGGTGGCTGGCAGCGAAGCTGGACAAACTGCCCAGCTGGAGGCCAGAACCAAGCGTGAGCTTTGCAAGGAGCCGCTCCGCAAGGCCAAAGGGTCTGCAAATACCTCTCTGAGCAGCAGAACCTGCGTTTCCTGGGGCCCTGCCTTAATGAAGGAAGTTCATTCTTGTTCGATGCCCTCTCCCTGCTCTCGGTCACAAAATCTTTGGGAACTCGTTGTTGTTGAGATCTCTGCTTCTGTGAAATGTGGCTGAAATTGGTCGATAAGCATAAATGTCATGAGAGGACTGAAAGAGCACAATCTCACAGATGTTTCTTTATGAAATGGAGGTAAAAGTGCCATGAAGTAAACAGATGAATTACAACTGCCTTGGATTTTGCTCATTTTTCATACCAGCAGCAGTATGTGCTTTCTACTTTCCTCATTTTTTGTATAGATTTACTCTCTTCAGTGCATAAAAATTGGGGCAACAGTGTGGTCTGGTTCACTGAACCAACTTGAATTTCTGATTGTACCTCAAGAAACTTGCTGTTTTTACTTTATTTTTTTTTTTTTCCTACCTTTAGAAGCAGGGAGCAAATTTAAATAAGTTACCAAATTAAGAACGTTTACTCTTTGAACACCAAATATTACAAGTCTAATATTCCTCTTGCGATGAAGACTGTTTCAACAGAGCAGGCTGCGAACCGGTTTGTGCTCTGTATCTCTGCTAAAACGGGGCGTATAAAAGCATATCATGGTCTGCAGCCAGGTATCTGATTGATTACTCTGAGCCTCTTCCTGCAGCATCCGTCCAACTGCTGCCGGCTGCAGCCAGCTCCTCTGGCAACCCCGGAGTCTCAGAAAAGTAGCCAGAGAAGGGCTGGCTTAGGAGCATGAGGGAAGGTTGTCTTTGCAAACGAGGACATCCAAGCAGCGCTCGCTGCTGCCCAGCACGCCTCATTTGCTCCAGCTCTGCTGTTTTTCTGCAGTGTGTTGGTTTCTGATCTTGCATCTTTGATTTTTTTTTCCTCCATCTCCATCTGTTCCGTTTGGAGACCCGTTGCTGCAGCCCTGGTCACTGCTCTTGGCCAGTCTCTTGATGCTACTGGCCACCCACCCTGGCGTGTTCTTGGCTTTGGCCTTGCCACTGAGCAGGAGCATCTTCCCCTTGCACTGCTGCACCTTCCTGATAAGGCTTCTTGATCGTCACATCCAATCTGCTCTCTTTAGAGCAGGCCCTTAAGGGTTTACACGATATACTTTTTAGCATTCTGCGATGCAATTTAATTAATTCTAATAAATGCCAGAAACACCCTGTGTAGTTGAGGGTTTCTATTAAATTTGAGTATAAGCTACTTCCAAAGGATATTAATAAGAACTTTGCTATTGATTTAAATTTCATGTTATTGTGCGAGTGCTTATGATAATGTACTGTAGCAAAGCAGTAAATAGCGCATAATATATTCCTTATCTTAATATATAGGTACTCTTTGCAGCTTTGCTATTAAATCCTTGAGAGAGTGAGAATTTTTTGAGCATAAATTACAGAGAATGTGAATTTGTAATATCAAAATACTAGTTCCTTTTTTTCTTCCATTTTCTTCCATTTGGAGTGCAGTAGTTTGAAAAGCAATGGAAATTTAAGGGTGTCACTTCTTTTTACCCCAAGAATGTTTGTTGAACAAAGGCTTTTGGATTAAATTTGTTTAAAATGTAGTAAACAAAGCCTATGAAACATGGATGTTGAGAATATCACATTTCCTAAAAGGCAATATTGTAGTTTATTCCTGTTAGATGAGTACTAGAACATGGTATGAAGAACAGTTCTTCTTTCCAGCACAAAATCTTTTTGATGCCAAAACCCTCCAGTGCTGCTGTGTGTCAGTACTGAGATGAGGAACTGCCTCTCTGCAGCCAGAGCCCCTGAGACTGGGGAGCCCTTCCTAATCTTGATTTACATGAGTCCTGAAGACCTTGCTAATTATGCATTTTAACATGAAAAGATTTATGCCTGGTAACATATTTCTGCCTGTGTGCCTGGTATAAAGCCCACTGGCTTGCCTGTGCTTCGGATGAGGGTCTAAATGAGCTGTCATCTGTCTGAACCCCAAACACTAGTATGTCCTGGAGATGGAGCTTCCCAGGCTCAGAAGAACAACAACGCTGTGATTTATGGAGTCCTGTTACTAAAAAATGGCAGTTTAATAGTCTCTGCAGGAATGGGTTTAGTTGCTTTTTCATACTTGTATGAATATGGAAGTTTGGGGTCTGGCCAAGAGACAGCAAGCAAACATTGAAAAAATCCTTTTCATTTGCAGACTGTGTTAGCTTCTACTGGCCCAGTGACAACAACATTTAACTTGGGTTATTCTGTAACTATATTACTCTTTATTGAGTAAACTATAATACTAAAACAGAATTTCCCTCACATAAATACCCTTCTGTGCTGTTGTAGAGAAGTGTTGCATTTTTTGGGTGTAATTTCCACTTAGGGTTTAGTTGGCTGGTAAAATATTATTAGTGCTGTGTTACTGCTCTTAAAAGTACTGACAAATAGGGATAGATTGGTGTAGAACAAAGTGGTTTAACTTTAAAAAAAAAAAAAAAAAAAATCTCGATTTAAGTCATTGGTTCCTCAGTACCTCATGAGGATGTGAGGCTCAGCGCGGTGCCTACAGACATCAGTGCTGCTGGGTTTGTCCCCATGGGCCCGCTGAGATGTCCATGGAACATCCTGCCATGTGTCGTAGCAGTGACCATAGTGCAGAGACCCCGGCTGACACTGCATGAGCATTTGCACCCATCCCACGACGACGAGGAGTGCGCGCTCGTTCGGAGAGGTCATCGTTATCTTCCTAGCTGATGCTTGTGTGTTCCTTGCAGAGTTACTAAGAAAAGGAAGTTTGGCATTCTAGTAGTGACTTTAGAGGATGGTTTCAGGTTAGTATATCCTCCAGGATTTTAAAGGTATTGTGTTTTGGCTTCTACCAAACTATGAAAAACATAGAAAACTGTTTTCTTCATAGGATTCTTTTGGTAAGGCTTTCCCTGTTCTCCAGCAAGTGGCATTTGTTTTTTTGGTCATTCCTCCAACATTGAATGAGATATTTGTTATTCTGAGTTAGATTCCAATCAAGAAAGTATTCTCTTTGCAGGTTTAATGGTCAAAGCTTGTTTTACCATTTCAGCAGGCTCTGGGTATAACGCAGTGACTTTGCTCTGTTCAGTAGTGGCAACAAATACAAACTGCATTTTACCAATGAATTATAGTGAATTTAGGACTTTATAAAGACTACGATAAATTCACATGAATTTTAAGCACGTTTTGTTTTAAAAAGGAGAAAAAATATATTAACTATACAGATTTCATTTTAGTTCAGTTTTGATAATTTTTCTCCCCGTCAGTAGCCTGTAGCCCATCAAGGAAGATATGGTTCTGTGCCATTTAATCCTAAATGGTACTTCTGGCACTAATTGGCATTTTGTCCAAATGCAGTAATAGGCGTTTGGTTCCCAGAAGTGCCGAGGTTATTGCACCTGCTCGTGCTCAGGCTCTGAAACACGCTTGGTTCCTGGGCTGGGAGGTGGCCAAAGCAGAAAAGGTGAGAAAAAGGTTTGGGAGAAAAGAATTGTTTACCCTTTATTGAAATTATGAGAAGCAAAATAGTAGCTCTACCTATCTTTCACAAATATTTTCTTTTTTTTTCCCCCCAAGCTGTTTTAGGGAGCAGCTTAAAGTATTATTTAAACATAAAGGCATCTAAAGAAGAAAGATGACAGAAGATCTAAACAGAATTTTATTCTAATTTATTGGTGGTTTGTTACGTTTTATGCAGTGAGGTATCTTCGTCTGCTTCCTATTCATCTTGAAAAAGCAAGACCAGCTTTTTCTTTTGAAGTCATTAATATAATACTCGTGCATACTGCAGCCTTAACACTTTCCAACTCAAGAACAGCAGGAGGAGGAGGAAGAAATTAAGATAACTCTCAGGGAAGAGAGTGAAGGGTTT